TCTGAACAATGTTCTAAACAAATCTTGAACCAAGTTCGAAACACTTAAAATCTTCATCTTTAAAAACTACAAAGATTGATAGTTTTGCTATCTGATATGCTTTAAGGATAAGTAAATGTCTCCTTCCCTCTCCCCACACCATTGGGGAAAACTGACTAGTTTGAAAGGGTGCCTGCCTTTGATGTCAGTGTTCCTCAGGGCATGGTTACACACAGAGTGAATTCCAAGTTGGGAGTTCAGTTGGCGATGGTAGTTAGTTACATTTTAAAGGGTACTTTTGGGATTGAGTGTTAACATGGTCTCATTTAAACATACAACATATATAAATAAAGACTGAGCCGTAAGTGTTCGTAAGTATTCTCAATGGATCCTAAGTTCTCACATACATAAAAAAGTGCCAGTTTCAACCTATATCAGAAATCTTAAAACATGTATTTTGTTTTTATAAACAAAACCAGCCATAGTACCTAGTTGAGTTATTTTAAGTTATTCATGTCCTGTCCCTTGAAGACTTTTCAAAATTTCAAATGAGCAAGTTCAGAAGAAATGTATATTCTTACTTTAGTGGATTTTGAAAGGATATTTAAAAGAATTTTTGTGTGTATGCAAACTGCCAAAATAAGTCTGAATGAATTGCGCTTAAGTTATTATTGTTATAATTCAGTCATCTGTGCTCATGGTTGGTTTTAAAAGAATTTTTCACCCCTTATTTGTAGGGTTATTGATGTTATTTTTAACTAATTCAGCAGTCCTTGCCTATATGCTTAAATTTTTAAAAAACAAACGCACAAAACTGGACATTTATAATGAAGTTGTTTTTCAGTCACGTAGTGGCTGCTCTCAAATGAAGCTAAAAGTGTCTGAAGAATGTTCTTGTGCATATGCCAGGAAGCTTCTGGAATGGGCGTATTTTTAAGAATTTAGAACATAAACAGCTGTGATCCGTGGCAGGAGATTTAAATGACCTCATGATGACAGCAAGAACAAAGCATTTTTAAGTTATCATGGTGGTGTGTTAATTCATTGCAATGTGTTTGTCATTCTGCTATTTTGGTGTATTAAGTGAGAGCCAGGCAAAAAATTACAGACTGTATTTAACTGAAGATACTATTTCTTTATTGTTGTAAACAAACTAAATACCAGAAAAATATTTCCCAAGAAGGATATTTCATGAATTATTTAGAGCCATAGGTCCTAAAAAAAAAAAAAAAGAAAATGCATGAACCACTTTGGGATAAAGGCCATTTATTTAGATCCTAAAGTTTTGATTCATTTTCTGTTGGAGAGACTATGTTCCAAACATGAAAGATCAAACAGTTGGCTTGAAATAAGAATTCCTCCTTCAAGACAGATCAATTAAGTGCTTATTAAGTACTTACTATGTGTCTGGCACTATGCTAAATATTATGCAATACAAAAGAAGGTGACTTCAGCTGCCTTTGTTCTAGTTGGAAAAAAAGGCATACTCAGTTGAAACTTCTAAACTAAAAAAAGACATTATTATAATCAAGTACCAAACAAAAATAATAATTTATGTGATACAAATAATGAAGTAGCCCTTCTCTTCAGAAATGACTTCTAATGCTTAAAGAACAAGAAAGGGAGAATTGTTTCCAATCACCTGTCCTGAAACAGATCTATATCACCTTTTGGTTCCCTCAGAAACAACCTATGGTATCTTGAACTAATGGTGACTGAAGTTTGACTCAGTATCTTTTTCCTGCTGTAACTGAGCATGACCCTATGGGGCCTTCCTAAGACAGACCCCTCCCCCATGTCCTCTGCTTTAGCTCCTCTCTGAAGTACGCAGATAACAGTATATAATGCACATTTCCTGAGTTGTTTTACAGATGTTAAAACCCCCACCAAATGGAAGAAATTAACTATTTGATGACCATGAGCACATAGCCCCCAGACCTACTGGTGCCTAAGGATTGATAATGTTAATGCCTATGACAGTACCCCGTTACCTCACCATCAACCAATCAGAGAATTATACACGAGCTGATCACATACCCTGGGATTCCTCTTGCTCACCTTGCCTTTAAAAATGCTTTGCTGAAACCCATTGGGGAGTTCAGGCTTTTTGAGCATTAGCTACCCTGGACTCCTTGTTTGGCACCTGCAATAAATGCTGCACCTTCCTTCACAAAAAAATGAAGGAAGGGAAGGGGAAGGGAGGAAAAAGGGAAGGAAAGAAATGACTTCTAATCATTGTCTAGGACAGTGGTTCTCAACTAGGGGTGATTTTGCTCCCTAGAGGACATTTGGCAATTCTGGAGAGATTTTTTTATTTTCATAACTGGGGGCTACTGGCAGCTAGTGTGGAGAGGCCAGATATATTGCTTAACATTCTGTAATGCACAGTCCTTCACAACAAAGAATTATCTGGTCCAAAATGACAGTTGTACTGAAATGAGAAACCCTGGTGTAGAACCTACAAATGTCAGTGATAAGTTTTGAAATAGTGGGAAATGGACTCCCGTCTTCTCCTAGACCTCTGTTGCCCTGGTAATGCTGTTTGCCTGAGGCCATTTGGATCCTTACATAGAAATGAGCATTGAGGATTTATAAACTTTTGAACATTGTATGCAAGTTTTTCCAGTACAGTGTTTGAGAGAGAGATTCCATAGGTTTTTGGGTTTTTTTTTACATTTTATTATTATTACTTTTAAAATTATTTATTTATTTATTTGGCTGCACTGGGTCTTAGCTGCAGCATGCGGGATCTAGTTCCCTGACCAGGGATCAAACCCTGGCCCCCTGCATTGGGAGCGTGGGGTCTTAACCACTGGACCACCAGGGAAGTCCCAGAGATTCCATAGTTTTTATCAAATTCTAAAGGTATCCATATTCCCCAAAAATGTCAAGACCCAGTCACGTGTGGAGTAGTTCATAGAGATTGAGACACATTAAACTAATGTTCTAGTCACCTAAAAGAAACAGTAACACCTTTCTTAGCATCATGCCTAGATAGAAGCAGAGTTTAAGTTTCAAGGATTAAAATTAACCAGAGAATACATTTTGGCGGGGGGAAAAAACACTCTAAATATATTACTTAATTTAGTATTTTGGAGTAATAAAATATTTCTTAATGTATGAGGAAATTAGAATACCTTAAGGATTATTATTTAAAAATCATATTTAATAACACAATACTGTGCATTTAGAATTTGAGACTGGACTGTGTGCTGACCCAGAGGCATAATATATAAATTGTTTTATTTTGCTGTTCGAACTCAACTTGTTTTGTCAGGATTTGCTTCTTTCGCCCAAATGAGGATCCAAGTTTACATTTCCTAAGGTGCTGTGTATCTGTTGATTCAGTCAGAGATCTGGACATGTTTTATACAGTTCACATTTCTCCTGAAAACTGTTTAGTAAAGTGATTGTGTTTTTCTTATAAGAAACGTTTTTGAATTGAGAGTTGTGTTTCTGATTTGGCATCCCGTAAATCAGAGAGTATCCCATAAATCAGGCATACCAGCAGTATGTCATGAAAACAAATCTACATAACCTTGAGTATGCATATACCTTAATACTTTTCTAACTTACAGAAATTTAGAGATTAAGTCTTGGCTTAAGAGCCAAAGAGGGGACCTTATAGATCATCTGTTCCAGCTGTTTCTGCTATTCTTTGGGGCTCAGGACCCAAAGCACCACTTTTAGCTGTTTTGTGTATTTGGACTTCTACCAAATATTTTCTTTTAGGAGAAAAAAGGTGTATGCGGGAGGAGGGATTTGCATGCTTCTGATCCAGACTAACCTCATTTTGCAGATAAGGAACCTGAGGTCCAAAACTTTAGATTTTATTCGTGGGCTATACATTTCTTTATTTTATATCAAACCAGCATTTCACATGTATCTGGTAATAGTATAGAGGACAGTTAGGAGTTAAAATTGTAGCTGTATGGCTTCCTAGTTGTGTGTTCTTAGGCAAGTTGCTGAACGTTCTCAGTCTCAGTATACTCATCTGGGGAAAGGGGAATTATTATATCCTTAGGATGGTTTTCACTTTCTTAGAATTTAGAATGTATCTGGAAAGATAATCTGGGTTGACCTTGTCTCTAGATTCATTCCATTAATTTTTTAATGGATTTTGTGTCCTCTAAATGTTAAAACTCCCTCTCCCCAAACCCAACCATGACCTCCCCAAAACACTACAAAGTAAAACAAACATCTGTATTATCAAAGGGGATAACACAGTGGTCACGTTTCCTTTACTTTGACAGTAATGAGGTCTTCATGAACTGAAAGATGAGCCTTGGGACCTTTTCTTTCTTCTCACCCCACTCTAGTTGTTTCATAAGCCACCTAGACACATGAATCAGGAACTGCAGAATATAATGAACAAGGACCTTGAGAGATAACTACAAGATAGAATAACATCATTGAAAGAACTTAAACATACAAGGTGGAATCTGAACTTGATACTCCTTTTGATCTTAAAGATGTGGATTCACAGAGTGAGTTCTTGAGGAGAAATTACAGGAATTCTTTCTTCCTGGGGCATTTCAACAGGGATTGCCTTACTAATCAATTTTTGTTAGTCACTTGTAATTTCCAGGGAATACAGTCTTTTACTTGGGCAAAGAAGCAAGTAGAAATAGTTATGTTAAAGACCACTTACCTTTTGTTATCCAAGATTAATTAGTAGTCATATCCTGAGAAGATTTTGTTCCAGAATTTTTCTTAGTGTCTCAAGCAATTCAATTAAGTACAGAGAAATGAATTTTGAGCTTAAATAAAGGAGTTTTCTTTAGTAGCTTGACCATATATTTATTTGCTGAGTTGGTTTGTTCATTTCAGTTTGGTTAGGTTTATTGTCATTTGTTGTTGGGAAATAGCTTTGATATAGATTGATACTACATTACTCTGTAACATTGTAGTGTTGCATTTTATCTTGTTACTCAGTAAATACATGTAAATTACCCTTTCTGGTAAATTGCATTTTTCAGTGAATGAAGCTTTTAAACTAACTTATCTGTGTTTTCTTTTAGGCCTTAAAGAAAGTGCAGAAGAGATGGTCAAAAACAAATTGGAAGGAAAGGATAAACTGACCCCCTGGGAACAATTTTTAGAGAAGAAGAAAGAGAAAAAAAGACTGAAAAAGAAACAAAAGGTATCAGTGATAATCATGACTGAATAATTCCGAATAATTATTGAGCAACCACTAAGTATCAGAAGGTACCAGGTGCTTGGCATCTAGTATCTCATAATGTGACCACTCACTGTGGTGGGTGAAGTGTTTTCTGCAAGGCTGCATAATGATACACGAAGCCTGTATCATTTAACCTAACTGCCTTGCTCTAATATTTTACATTTATGTGCTACCTAAATAAATGCATAGTTTAGTCGATTTCTAGATGTAAGACAGTTTGATTCTATTCTGTGTTTTTGAGGAAGAGAGGTACATACAGACATTTTTACTTGAGGATGTATACATAGAGAAATTTTCAACATGAATGAAATTTTTTCTTTGTATTTCCGTTTCTCAAGCTGCGTTTTTCACTTTTCAGTATTATTTTATTGTATAGATCTTTTAACATCATATTGTCATTAGATTCCTTTATCAGGGATATTTTCTCTGTGCTAAATATGTTGTCTGTGAAAAATCTGATTTGACTCCTATCATTCAGGGATAACATCTTTCCAGAGTTAGAGTCCTTAGTAATAGCAGAGACCACTTAGGATTTTTGCCAATAAGAGTACTCTATCTTGTCAACGAAATGCAGCATTCTAGCAATGCATTTATTGTCTTAAGATGGTATCACTAATCACAGAATTTTACAACTTTTAGGAATCTTAAATGATTAGTTTTAGTCCAACCCTGACGTTTTATAGTTGTAGAAAATTAAGTGATTCATCTGAGGATACACAGCTTGTTAATGGCCAAGCTGAGACCAGAAACCAGATCTCTTGCTCCAGTGCTCTTGCTACTGTATTGTGTTGTTTCTCTCCGTATGATGTAAGCTTGTGCTTTTGGTACAACAGCTGCAATATTGAAAGAGGGCTACAAAATTGAATGATGCAATGGAGTGAGTTTTGAATTCCTGTTATACTCAGTGTTTTTGGAAATGGATAGTAAAATGAGGAAATGAGGTAAGAGCCCTGCCCCCATTGATATGCTGCCTCTCTCAGGCAGTAAAATGTCTTTTAAGTGGAATAATTCCACAAGTTATTAAGCCATCAGTTTATTGGAAGACTTACAAATGAGTCTTTATGGGGTCAATAAAGTAGTCATTCTTTTCTGAGATCTTTAGCAGCTATTGTCTTTGATTTTCATTTGGTGCTTTGAGATTATCTTCTGCTTTAACGCTTTCCCTTCATTGGGCTTAGACTGGACTCATTTTATCAATAATATTAAAAATACATCAGTTGAGTGCCCAGTTTGTTCTAGACTCAGCTCTATACTGGACTTGGTGATTCCAGCAGATCTCTTCCACCTCCCCAGGTTCTTCACATATAGAAGAGTTTCAAGAATTCAAGTTAAAAATACTTTTTCCCCTTTTCCTCTTCGTGACTTGAATTTGATATTGAGAAATTATTACTAAAGAAATGAATATGTTTATACGCCATAGTTGATATACTATAATTTAGATCTAAAAAACAGTTTAAAAAAATGTGAATAAATATGTGGTTAGCTATATAAGTATTTCATAATCTTTGTTAGAAACATCATATTACTGATGAATTGGTTATAATAGTTTGGTGAAAAAGTTCTTAGAAGCCCTTGTTCTTAAAAGGATAGTAATATCAAAATGAATATTCTTTAGAGCTTGGTGGGTCTTCTTCAGCATGTAGGATGATGTTTAGCAATGTGCATTCTAAATGTTTTTGTTGAAACGACTCATGTTTTAGATTCCTGGGGATAAACTCAATCTGGTTAGTCTGATCTCAGTTTGCATATGTTCTGTGTATTTTATAGACTTGATTTTTAAAATTTAAATATACTAATTTAGTAAACTGTTCAGATTTGATTAGGGAAAATGTAACCAACAGATGTGCTTAAAAATAGCACAAAAGTTTTCATGAGTGGATTATAGATAAAACAAGGTAATTGTTGAAGTTGGGTGATGAGAACGGTAAGTTCATTATCATTTTCTTTAAATAACCAGCAGATGAATTGCTTTAATGATTTAAAAGATAACCCACAATGCAGTACTTCAAGCTGTTGATAATCACTGCCATTTCTTAGTTTCGTGAGAGATGAGGCAGGCCACCTCTCTTCACTGATCACCCATCTCAAAGTATTCTCCTTGAATGTCTGTATTTTATTTTTGTCTCTTTGGCACTTCCTATCTTGAATTACTATTACTATTACTATATATATGTCTGTTTATGTGTCTATAACTTCTTTTAATAGATTGTAAAATTTTTGAAGACAAAAACCATGTATCTGATAACTTTCATTTCTCTCAAAAGCCCTACATAGTTCCTGCATTTACTAAGTATTCCATAAGTATTTGTTGAACAAACAAAAGAGTTACTCAGGAGTTATTTTATAAACTGATCCATTTAAAAAACTATTTTAATTTTAGATTGAACTGCTTGATTTAAAAGAAGTACGGTTTTTCTTGACGCTTGTATATTTTGGTCCTTATAATAAACTGTATGTATTTTTATATTCAACTTTAAGGCTCTTGCTGAAGAGGCCAGTGAAGATGAAGTTCCCTCTGATGTTGATATGAATGACCCATACTTTGCCGAAGAAGCTAAAAAAATAGGTAAGCCAGCCCATATTTGTAGTTTTCACTTGGAATCTAAAGTCCGCCTGTGTGTGCCTATTCACACATACTCTTTTTCCTTCTGATAAACACTTTGTTTCACTAAAAAATAAAAAAATAAAAAATAAAATTCCTAGAATTTGTATAGCTCCCTAGTGGCTTATAAGCAAGTTTGTCCTATGGGATGTAACCATTGATCGGATTAGGAGGGGTCAGCATGCCCCCTGTACATACAAGAAATAATTTCATTATAGGAAACTTTGGGTAATATGATTAATTTAACAGTTTACTGGAGATGCCTTTCTGGGAAATATCCTTATAGACAGATTGACTATAAAAGGATGAGGAAAAAAAGGAAGTCATATTTTTGAGTGCTTTCACTGCTTTATTATAACACATCCATTCTACGTCTCTCTTTGCACAGACTATGAAGAATTGAAAGCATGGAATAAATTTGTTTATATATTTGTGGATATGTGTATGATTTTTTTAAATTTTTACATGATTTACATGTGTGAAACAGGGTTTCATTCATAGTATGAAAACTTGTCGGCTCAAATAGACAAAAGCATCTATGTTTCATTTTATCCCCTTTTCATTTATTCTGCTTCATTATGAGCTTCATTGTAGCTGAAAGCCAGCTTCCTCCCCTTTTTCCTTGAATCCCTAAACTATCAGGTATCTGATTTCCTATACCCAGGGAGCTTTGTTTCCATTGCGCATGCACCAGTCATTCTTTCCTGAATGCTTTCATTCTTACCTTTTTGGTATGTATAAATTGTGTGTGTGTATAAAAGTGTGTGGTAAGGTTCAGGCCATACTTGGACAAGTCAGTGCAGGACCACTGTAAGCATTTTCCATTTGTTCTCATGCATTTTGCTTCCCCCTGCTCTGCATACCACACACATGAACCCCAAAGGCTTGTTGCTGGAGCAACTCCAAGCTGGCATTGTAAAGAGAAGGATGTTATGAAGTTTCCCTGCTTCTTGTCCCTTGTGACTAGTGGGCCAGAATAGTTCTCAGCAGGAAAGTCAAAATTGCTCAAAATTATTTCTTGGTTGTTATAGCCTTTTATCACTGACATTCTATTGATGAAAAGGAGATCAAGATGAATAAAGTCTATTATAGGATGTGAGATTCTTAGGAATTGGAAAGGGAAATGGAAACTTAGCATATTCTGCTTTTTATCATACCTGAGCAGTCATTTCTAGAAGATGATGGATTTTAGCCTTATCCTCCGATTTCAGGAAACCAAGTTTATAACAGAGAAATGCGAAGCATTATAGTTTCCTTGTTCTCATTCCAAAGTGCTTCATTTGGCATGTGAAATCTGGTCAAACTGCAGAACTCGGGGTAGGATTCAAAGAGTAAGTTAAATAGCTTAGTGGCTTGGGTAGCTTGTTTCTTGGAATCAGCACATTTAAATTGTGAATAGTTTTCCCTAAAGTTAGTATCCAAAGTTCCAAGGGAAAATGCAGATTACGTTTGCTTGCTTTCGATATACTTTTGATTTCAGCATACTTTCTAGGAATAATTATTTATATCTGGGCTTAAGGGCTTTAAGGAAAAAGAAAAACAAAAGTGAATTTTTTTTTTTTTTTAGATAAAGTTAGGACTAAAAAATGGTATCTTGACATGTTTATTCATTCTATCAATAAACATTTTTGAGTGCCTACCAGGTGCCGAGCACTCTGCTAGGCTAGAGATACAGCACTAATAATAGAAGCTAAGTTACATCCTTTAAGTAGATTATAGTTTTAGGGAAGACATGCTAAACAGGTAAACAAATAAGAATATTATGCAAATATGATCACTGTTTTAAAGGAACTAATAAATAGGGTAATACAGAGCATATAACTGGGAGGAAGAAGGAGAGTAGCTTTCTTTATATAGGGTCGGCAAAGCAAGCTTCTCTGAGATGGTGACGTTTGAGCTGAGACCTGCAGAATGAGAAGGAGTCAGGCAGAGAGAGTTGGGGGAAGAGCATTGCAAATGAGAGGAAAATGGGTAGAACAGCTATGAGGTGAGAAAGAACTGGTGTCAGAGAAATGGAAAGATACCAGTGTGGCTGGAGCATGGTTAGAGGGGCAGTTTGGTATAAGGCCAGGCTGGGACACAGGATTGACCCTGCAGGGCCTTGTGTCACGGTGACAAATTTGGATTTTACTCTACTGACAGTGGGAAGCCGGTGAAGGGTCTTAAAGCAAGGATGTGAAGTGATGTGGTATGCATTTTAACATACTACTGTGGGTCCTGCAAAGAGAACAGATTGAAGAAAGGCATTGGTGAGAGCTAAGAGACCAGGCTTTTGTAGAGGTCTAGAGGTGATGGTTGGTCTAGACAGCACGACGGTAATGGAATTGGAAGGAGAAAAGTAAATGGGATTCTAGATATATTTTGGAGGTGGACTTGCCGATCTTTTTATTTGGATAAGGAAGGCATTTAGCATAACTCCTAGATTCCGACTTAGGAATCGGTAGCCTCTAAATAGTATTTCAAACCGTGGAACAAGGGGTAGAAAGCATTGGTAAGAGAGGGAGGTGCAGGTTTGGGCTCTGAAGTCAGGAGGCTGCGTAAGGTACTCTGTCCTCCTGGAGAAGGTACTACCTGGAAGGTAGGGGGAAAGTTTATGAAACAGAAGGAACCACCATGAAATAGGAGGAAAAGCATTAGTGTTTGGAAGGGTGTATAGTTCAGCTCCATGGTTGAGCAGGACAGAGACATTTTAAGCCAGGATACCTTTGCCCTAGGCAATCCCAGAGCTAAACTTACACGCTCTTCAAAATATGGAGAAATTGAGTTCAGTTACTGATGCCAGACCTGGTGTTTGGCTCGGGTTAGGAGCCAATATGAGTACTAGAAATCTTTTCTAATTTTTCCTTTTAAGTTTTTACCCCCTACACTGTAAATTTGCTATAATTTTTCTATTTTTTTTTAAACTGCAAACTCAATATTAGATGAGAGCTTTGAAAATGTATTTCTAGAATGAGTTAAAAGTTATTTTTTCTTGTAGAAATGAAGTATTGGAGAAATTTGCTTAGTGCTAATTGCATAAACTGTTTGATAAGATTTTGTTTTTGAAGAAGTAGGAGTGAAATAAAGTACATCACATGTTAAATATACCCTATTAGAATGTATCCTTTGTCTTGACAACTTTAGATATTTGATAAACCACCATGAAAATCTAATAATAAGGCACACATATTTGATTCATTCAGCCAGTATGCTGGATGCTTACAGTATACTGCTCATATGTAGTTTTACAGTTTACAAATGCTCTTATGTGCATTCTGTCCTCTAATCCAAACTTTAGCCCACTTTATAGAGGAGTGAACTGAAAACGTGGTTGAATTGCACAAGGGCCAGTTGTAGATGATAGAACCTGAATCCTAATGGCTCCCTTTTACTTTTTGTAACTCTACAAGTGCGTTGTGTAAAGACCAAAGCCAGAGCCAGGAGCCATATGTATAAGAGCTGGACACAAGGACTTGCTAGCTTTCCAAGCAAAGCCAGAATGCCTCGGTCCAGAGGAAGATTATCTGATGATGGACAAGTGATCTTGGGTGCAGGAACTTGCTGCTAAAGAGTAAATTGCTAGGGGGCTTACCACTCCTGTCTGGTCAGTACGGAGAGCAGTCTGCCCTCCAGTGAACTCTCTTAACTGCTCTCTCACAAGAAGCTCTCAACTGAACACTCTGGAAGAACTTTTTTTTTTTTTTTTTTTTTTTTGCTGTACGCGGGCCTCTCACTGTTGTGGCCTCCCCCGTTGTGGAGCACAGGCTCCGGACGCGCAGGCTCAGCGGCCATGGCTCACGGGCCCAGCCGCTCCGCGGCATGTGGGATCTTCCCGGACCGGGGCACAAACCCGTGTCCCCTGCATCGGCAGGCGGACTCTCAACCACTGCGCCACCAGGGAAGCCCTGGAAGAACTTTTTTATGGGAACAATTCTCTGACATTACAAGTAATGGAAAATGGAATTTCTTTTACAGATACTCCTTTTACAGATCAATTGTTTGCAGCACATCTTTTTCCATGGATGTATTGTTACCTTTTTTTGCTTAAAGGAATAGTGGCCTCAGTAAGGCTTGTTTAGTTTTTGGGGGTTTTTTTGCGGTACGCGGGCCTCTCACTGTTGTGGCCTCTCCCATTGCGGAGCACAGGCTCCGGATGCGCAGGCTCAGCGGCCATGGCTCACGGGCCCAGCCGCTCCGCGGCATGTGGGATCTTCCCGGACCGGGCATGAACCCGTGTCCCCTGCATCGGCAGGCGGACTCTCAACCACTGTGCCACCAGGGAAGCCCAGATTTTTTTTTCTTAACTATAAAACCCCAACACCCAATTTCAAGTCTCTGTTAATATTCAGCTTATTAGAATCATCTATATGTCCTTTTGCCACAGTCCCAGGAGATGTGGACTCTTACTTGCCAAAAGATTCACTGAAAAATAAAGATAACATTTCAGAACAGGGACTTTCATTTCCCTAGTACTCTTCACTAAATTAGGTCTGAAAGCTTTCCAAAGGGAAAATGCCTTTTTTTTTTTAAATGCTTTTTTTAAAAAAATAAAGATATGCCCACCTAATATGATCTTGTTAACAGTGCAGAAAGGGTCTCTACACATTATTTATCTTCTGACTAAACAGTTCAATGTAGCACACAGTAAATTCTTCATGAGCAAAGAAATTTTCATCACACTAAAACTGGATATCATTTTTAGCCCTGACCATCTTGGAGATTTTTTTCCTCTCTTGCTGCAGTCTTCCTTTCGAGTTTATTTTTATGGCTTTTCACCAGGTTGTTATAAAATCCGGAACAGTTCATTGTGGACTCTTTGAAATTATTTCCCACAGCTGTATGTGAAGATCTTTATCTCCTTTATGTATTAATCATATACAGCCTGATTTTTTTCCCCTGCCACAGAATGATCTTCTGCATATGTCACTTGTCCATTCACTTCAAAAGGAGCTATTGCCTTAAGAGAGCAGAGGTAAACTTAGGGTGTGGGAGTCAGACCCTAAGAAAGTGGACCCTTGATGATATTTATATGTATAAATACGTGCACATACTTACAACAGAGAAAAGGTTATAATCTTAAAGCAGATACATCATTCCCTGAAAAACATTTGAGATAGGAGCACTATCTCACTTAGGGGAAGGGCTACATATAATGATATTTCTTCTTAAAAGTGCAGACAGACGCCTTGATAGCAGTGAGGGGTGAACGAGGCCACACTTATGTGCAGGTGTGTTCTCTCAGCTAGGCAGGGCTGCCTTAGTGCAGCAGGGCTAGTGCACGTGGAGCAGCTTCTAAAGCTTCTCTCTACTTCCTGTTATCCCCCATTAGCTGTGGTTGTTCAGCCATCATTATATGTTCTGTGAATTTTACTTTATTATTTTACAACAAAATGCATTTTAAATGGAAATGGCTCTTCCAGGGAGAATGACATTTGATAGCGAAGGGATGAAGTATGGGTGATTAACAGAGAGCCTGAGCTGGAGTGCTCGGGTTTGAATCATGGTTCCTTTGCTTACTCACCTTGAGACAAATTGCTTAACCTCTCTGTGTTTCAGTTTCCTCACCCACAGTGTGAAGATTGTAATAAATAACAGAATCTACCTCATAGCATTGTTGTGAGGACTAAAGCAGTTCCTGTATAAAATGGAATAAAACAGCAGTACTTTCTGGTGCCTAGTAAGTGCTGTAGAAGCATTAATTGTTGTTAATACTTTAGAGACCATTGGTTTCTCTGCATTTGGAAGGAGAGAACTCAACTTATCCAAATAAGACAGTGTCCAGCAGCTCAGAGAAGGTTGAGATTGTGTAATAACATTCTAGAGTAAGAGAACATGTCTTTGTGGATTCTGAACCTTCTTACTCTTCAGAGTAGTTCTTCATACTTTGACACCAATTCTCCCTGAACCCCTCCCAACAGACAAAAAAAGGAAGAAAAATCAAAGCATCTGCGTGATCACCAAGGAACCCAAGATACCTTATATATGTATAGTCAGACTATTATAACAGTGCTAGCAAGCAGTTTATAGCACCATGTGCCAGACATTAAGCTCTTAACATTTTTTAGTGTATTTAGTCATCACAATAACCCTAGGAGGTAGGTGCAAGTATTATAATCCCCACTGTACAGATAAGGACACAAGCACAAACTGCTACAGCTAGAATGTAGTTGAGCCAGAATTTAAACCCAGGCCAGCTGCTCCCGAGTCAAGTGCCCTTAACTGCGTGTGTTACTGCCTCATCTAACACCTTGTGTTCTCCAGAAGTCCCTGAGTGCCTGAAAATATAGTCAGTTTTCTACTCAGGAGCCAGTTTTCCCATGAGTAATTTTGTTTAATAATAATAGAACCAGAAAGTTAAACAAAGATCAAATTTATCTTTAGAGAAAGAGAAAGGGTTTTGTTAAACTTTTACTTACAGGTAGTTATCGTCAAATTGTCATTATAGAGATGAATTTTTCATTTTGCTGATGAGTTTTAAGAGTTTATATATTAAAATTACCTGTGTTTTGTTTTTTTTCCCTTTGTGATTTCTCCTATTATTCTTACGCTAAGAAAACATTCCTTCTATTTAAGATCAGGTAGCTGTTCCCTTGTATTTTCTCACAGGGTTTTTTTTCCTAATGTTTAACTCTTTAATACATCTGCATTTTATTTTCCTGTAAATTATGCGATGCATCTATAGCTCAAATTTTTTTTTGCAGAATAAAACAAATTGCCTAGCACCAGTTATTGAATAATCCTTTCTTTTTCCAGTGATGTATGATGCTACATTTTATTACATACTAAGCCAACTGTTCTATTTTTCTCATTATGTAGTACAGTGTTTTTGTTTTCACTTTGTAGTACAGTTCAGCACACTGTATTACATGTATATCAAATCTATCTTGTTAATCTTTGTAAAGATTTCCTTGAATAGAATTTTATTAAATGTATATATATTGTCATGAGTGGATGTTGAATTTTATCAAGTACTTATTCTGTATCTGTTGAAATGATCTTATGATTTTTCTTTTTTAGCTGATGTATATATAATTATACATTACTTTCAGAAGAAATTCCTTCTTTGTAATATTTACTTATCCCCTCCAGACTATTATTATTCCATTCATACCCATAGTCATCTAAGTAATATTTTTTTACTTTCTTTAGTTTCTATATATTTATTGATAGATACCTTGCATTTTTGTTATAAACAAAATTTTTAAAATAAAATAGTATAAACAGATTGTTGCTGTGATAGTCTTATAATTTTTAACCCTCCTATGTTGGTTTGTTGTGCCAGGTATAAAAGAAAAGAAGAAATCAACAAAATCTGCAAAAGATGGCACATCTCCAGAGGAACAAGCTGAACTAGAAAGACAAAAGGTAAGACATGGTCATGGTTACATGCTTAGTGGATAATTGATATGTACAGTTCAAGTGGAGTTATCCATGTGTTTCCAGTATCCCTAATAAAAAAAAAAAACTTATTTTAGTTACGAATTTATAAATAAGAATTTCTGCAGCATAGTTTTTTTTGTTTTTGTTTTTGTTTTTTACGGTACACAGGCCTCTCCCGTTGCGGAGCACAGGCTCCGGACGCGCAGGCTCAGTGGCCATGGCTTACGGGCCCAGCCACTCTGCGGCACGTGGGATCCTCCTGGAGGGGGGCACGAACCCGCATCCCCTGCGTCGGCAGGTGGACTCCCAACCACTGCACCACCAGGGAAGTCCCAAGCATAGTTTTTAAATGTCATCTTTTTACCAAATTTCTCCAACTAGTATCCAGCTAGTACAAAGTTAAAATTTACCTCAAACCCAAGGCATGTCCCTTTGTGATTAAGAGGAAAATATCTTATTATTAAAAACCCTTACTATAACTGAGACCAAAAAAAAATAGTACTATTAAAACCTTAAAATAATAATGCCATAAGTTTTAATTCAATTTAATTCAAAACCCTTACTATAACTGAGACCAAAAAAAAAATTGTACTATAAAAACCTTAAAATAATAATGCCGTAAGTTTTAATTCAATAATTTAATTCAAGTTTTAATTTGGTATCACTATAACTGAGACAAAAAAAAATAGTACTATTAAAACCCTAAAATAATAATGCCATAAGTTTTAAACCCTGTAATACAGGGTTTGCTTTATGGCTTGTTCAATGCTCATTTCTCTCTTTTTATTATTGAAAATAACATAAATTTAGTGTACAAAATTAGTCTTTCTTGGAAGTGTAGTGAACTTTATGCTTCAGTGCCTCCAAAGATCCATGGCACAGAGTAATATGTATTTTTTCTGAGACAGGAATTGGAGTCAACAATGTTCACAAGACTGATGTTCATAGCACTGTCTAGAAGGGAGCCTGACTGGTCACCTAAACTCTGCATCTTAATGCATGTTTTACTGCATGTGCAGTAGTGTTCACAGAGTTAAGGAGCAAAAGAAAACCTTTCTTTTGTAGAAAATGGCTCTAAAAAGAAAGCCAACTGCGGGTACTGGTGGTGGAAGGGAGACATAATTAAAGCAGTCTAAAGTGGTAATGGAGGAAGATTCACAGGAATCTCATAGCACACTCTGTATTTTCTCTAGTGTACATGGTTGTTTACTTGATTCTTGAAGGTTTACATTTAATCCCCTAGTCAGTAGAAAATACCTATTTAGTAGAAACAAGCATTATATTAGATTACAGAAGCAAATATTAAGATCCTGCCTTCATAGACATGTGTCAACATTGAAGAAGTAAAGGCCAAAAAAAAGCAAAAGAAAAAAGGAATTCCTTGTTCCTAAAGCATGTTTGGAAAGTCTAGTTTGTATCACAAAATACTACATGTTTGCTAGATTTAGTGTCTGCTTAAAAAGAACAAACTGAAAATGAGAAATTTTTATTTGGGGGACTTGAGGATTCTTATTTCTACAGCCTACTAACCAGTTACACTAGGTGAAATATGGTCTGGATTTTAGATAAAGCTTCCTGCTGTCAGTGATGTTGCTTCTAAAAATTATACCCATTACTGTACAGAGATCTCTGGGTTTCGTTTTGAGTTCTGGTAATCCACAATCAGTTTACGGATGACAAGTGTTATCCCAGAGCATTGGTGGCTCGGTTCTCCTTTCCTGGGGGGATATCTGTGCCCTATACTCCTGTTTAGGGAAAGAAAAGCACTGTTGTATATTTGAACTCTTTTTTCTCTCCACAGGCTGAAATGGCTTTGCTCGTGATGGATGAGGAGGAAGAGAGCAAGAAACACTTCAATTATAACAAGATTGTGGAGCACCAGAATCTGAGCAAAAAGAAGAAAAAACAGCTTATGAAGAAGAAGGAATTATTGGAGGATGACTTTGAGGTAACCAGGGACAATAGTCATTATCTTCTTAAAGTTGGTGTTATATCTAAAGTCAGCTCTGGAGATAAAAATCGAGCGTCTTAGGGCTTCCCTGGTGGCGCAGTGGTTGAGAGTCCGCCTGCCGATGCAGAGGACACGGGTTCGTGCCCTGGTCCAGGAAGATCCCACATGCCGCAGAGCGGCTGGGCCCGTGAGCCATGGCCACTGAGCCTGTGCGTCCGGAGCCTGTGCTCCCCAACGGGAGAGGCCACAGCAGTGAGAGGCCTGCGTACCGCAAAAAAAAAAAAAAAAAAATTGAACATGGAACCAAAGCTACCATCTTTCAGCCCAACACAGCCAGTTCATCCATGGGGTGTTTCTTTGGTTGAGCACCAGGTGATGTAGTTGGCTTCTATTTTGGTAGCCATGTTGCACCAAAATATGTAGCTTTTAGTGTTAGAATCACATGCACTGTGATGCTCACACTGGGAAAGTTCTGCATCATTAAGCCTGACTGAGAAATAGCAGGTTCACATCACATCGCGCCACACTCTGTGTGCAAAGGCCAGTGCAGTAGGCCATGCTTTTTTAATTGCTTTGTTTCTTGTTTCCATTGCTCCCTCTTTTCCCTCTTTTTGCTAAGTACATATTTCTAGTGACCACACAGTCCCCATGCATGAGTTTGAACCCTGTACAGAAAACCTACAACAGCTGTCAGGAACTATTTGATGACTTCCATCCATTAGCATGGAAGAATAGACCCAGAAGAAGATGGGAGAGATTTTGAAGTTGTTTAGAGAATTGAGAGGGGCGTACAGATAACTTCTAAGTAGCGTGGAGAGGGACTTTGAAACCACTGTGTAGCTCCGGTTTCTGTTAAGTCAGCTCCATGTGTGTGCTGTTCCACTGAACTTTTTGGTGAATTGATTTTCTTATGAAAAGTTAAAAACAAAGAATGATTTGTAGTCAGATCTTCTATTTTGAGAACTGTCTCCACACACTAATCATCATGCATAAAAACATTTTTCATGAGTGTCGTGGTGGTGGTGGTGGTATCACGTCTGTTGTCCTTACTATAACTAAGTAACTCTACAGTCCATCTCCGGGTGGACTCATTTTTCGCATGGGAATGATGGGTGGCAGTGAGTCATGCTCCCTTTCTGGCTGGTCACCCCTGTGCCTGGCAATACTTGAAGACCTGGCTGGAGTTAAGGGTACACTCTTAACATGTAGGACCACAGTGTTCTTGTAGAAAGATAAAGGATAAATTCGGGGCTTGTATCTGACCGGATCTTGGTCTCAGGGGTGCCATCTTTCCCATTTTAATCTTTAAATCTTTTGCTGTATGAATTGCCCTCAGTAGCTGCTCATTTTAGCACGAAGGTTGAAAAAAAGTTTAATGTACTCAGAATGCAATGACTGCACAAAACTCCAGCAGGAGATACCATTGGCTTAATTATCGGCTTAATTATCCCAGCCAGAAAGAGGTTTCACACTGTAAGCGTGGAGGAGCCTGCCTACTCCAGGGATCATTCCCCTCCTCCAGACGCTCGGTCTAAGTGGCTGGTGTCGTTCCAGGCCATTGTATACATAGACTAGGATAGTTCCCTTTCAAGGATATTGTCGTTGTGTGATGAAAAACAGTGTGCCCTGCACATTGCGGTTCAGGAATAAACCTTAAAACTCCCTTGAAGAGCTTCCCTGGTGGCGCTGTGGTTGAGAGTCTGCCTGCCGACGCAGGGGACACGGGTTCGTGCCCCGGTCCGGGAAGATCCCACATGCCGAGGAGCGGCTGGGCCTGTGAACCATGGCCGCTGAGCCTGCGCTCCGCAACAGGAGAGGGCACAACAGTGAGAGGCCCGCGTACCGCAAAAAAACAAACAAACAAACAAAAACTCCATTGAAGATCTGTGGGAGAACAGTTTTCTAATGAATCAATGCAAAATGCCCACGTTTGTATTTTATATAATCAACTCACTTACTTTCGAAATTTGGTCCCATTTCTGGGCCTTTTGGTTTGCTAATTTTATTTATTTATGTTTTCCTTTTGGATTTGCAGGTCAATGTTAAGGATGCACGGTTTCAGGCAATGTATACTTCCCACTTGTTCAATTTGGATCCTTCAGATCCTAATTTCAAGAAAACAAAAGCTATGGAAAAAATCCTTGAGGAGAAAGCCCGTCAGAGAGAACAAAAAGAACAAGAACTTACTCAGGCAATAAAGAAAAAAGAGAGTGAAATTCAGAAGGAATCACACAAGAGATCCATTGATCCTGCCTTGTCAATGTTGATTAAATCTGTAAAAAACAAAACAGAGCAGTTTCAAGCAAGAAAAAAGCAAAAAGTCAAATAGATGTATGTTGTTTCTTTTTGGTTTGAGAATGTATAAAGTATACAGAAGTGATGGAAGGAATACTTATTGGGAATAGTGCTATACCTTTCAAGAATATGAATAAAAACTGACTGTTGTAAAATTTATTTTCTGTATATAACAGTTAGACCTAATTGTGTATGATTGATAGATTTGTACTGTGTATTTCCACAGATTAATCATAATTAATCCAGATTATAGGATGTATAAAATTTTTATATTTATTACTCTGCTAGCTTTTTTTAAAGACTGTTTATAATTCTATGTAAAAAATAGAGGAGTGACCAAGTCTTAAGTCTGAATAAGAGTTAGGAACAACTTGAAAATATGTATATGCAATACATTAACTTATCTGGAAGCAGGAGGCAGATTTAGATACTTGTTTAAATAATTTATATTTCTAGCCATAATGAATAGAAGCCAATAACTTTCTTTGTTGTTTGGTCATGTTTATTATAGTTTATTAATTTGTAAATAAAAATTTTTACTATTTTGTATAGCACTGAATTCATTTTATTCACCTCCAGTAAACTACTCTCTGGAAAAATATCTGAAAAACTAACTCTTTAAGAGGACAACTCCATGGAAAGGCAGTTCCAGGTCTGCATTGTTCATAATTATATTTGAAATGTTCGTGAGCTCTGCAATGATTTTTATGTTTGTAGTAACAGAAAATTCTGTCTGCCCTTCAGAGTTTTGGAATGCTTGGAAGGATGGGTATGCTGCTATAGAGTTTAAGGAATCTTAATTCTTTTTAAAATTAAATTAAAACACACCTTCAAAGCCTTAATACTCCTGGATTTCATCTGGTCTAGGTTTTGTAAACTATTAACTGACCACTTAGAAGAATTAGGTGTGCTGTATAAATAAATGAAAATAAAAACCAAAATAATCACTTGGAATGAATGATAAATATGGTAGCTTCTGAAAGGCAGTAGGCGTTTGGCCAGGTTTGTGGTTAATAGTAAACTTAACATTATTGGTACAAAAATTCAAGCCTGCCAACGTAGTATATTTTCAAGAATAAAAGGATGTAAGACTCAGAATGATATCAAGATAATAAGGGCATATGAACAGTCTATGGAAGGGGAAGGAAAAAAGAGGATATCTAAAATTGCTCATAATAACAGAAAAATGCAGAGTATCGTGTGGGGAATGGTGTTGTTTTTTTTTTAAACATCTTTATTGGAGTATAATTGCTTTACAATGGTGTGTTAGTTTCTGCTTTATAACAAAGTGAATCAGTTATACATATGTTCCCATATCTCTTCCCTCTTGCGTGTTCTTATCATAAAGTGCTAATAACATTGTTAGATAATTCAGCCAAATAAAGCAGTAATTGTGTACTCATCACTAGAAGATCATGAATCTTAATATATTTTTGAATATAGTCTATAATTGTGTAATTATTCATATTTCATTTTCATGCAAGGAAAAAGACTTTAAACTTTAATCAGTGTGGGGATTACTCAGTTTGATTTTAAGATTCCTGCGAAACTTACTCTTGGTTTTTTAATTGGTTTGGTTTGGTTTGGATTTTCATTTTTGAGCCCTTTGTTGTTAAATCACTGTATTTAATTGTAAATCTCATTTTACTAGTCAGGCACATGATTGATTATAGCAAATAAATTGAGCATATAAGCTTTGCACAGCCCTGGCTCCTTTTCTCAAGGAATTGATATTTTTTAAGTAGGAAAAAAAATGAGAATTGCATTATCAGGTACTGCATTAAATAAACATAATACACCAAGAATGTTAGGTTCTCAATAAATACAATAATTGCTGGTAGTAAAACTCAGGATAAAAATATGGCCACTGCCATAATTCAACAAACAATGTGAGGGTAGTTTGGGTGACTCTTAAGGTCACATTTATTTGGATTGTTTGTTGTTGTTGGTATTCTTGATACCAAAACCGGATGAAGACAGTACAAGTAAAGAAAACCTACAGACTGGTATTTATTGTTAATATATAGAAATGAGATTGCTTCTGGAGAATTAATGTCTCACAAACTTAGGCATAAAAAACCTCAACAAAATATTAACAAATTGAATCTGACAATGTATAAAAAGAATTATACACCATGGCCAAGGGGATTTAATTCCAGGTTTGCAAAACTGGTTCATCCACAACCAACGTAATCCACTGTATTAACATGCTAAAGAAGAAAAAGTATATGATCATATCAATTGATGAGAAAAAGTATTTGACAAAATCTAACATCCATTCATGATAAAAACAACTTTGGAATAGAGGGAAACTACTTAACTTGATAAAGAGCATGACAGAAACCCTACAATTAGCATACTTAGACCGAATGTTTGCCTAAGATTGAGAACAAGGCAAGGCTGTCTTTTAATCGTGTCTTATTTTCTGTATTCTGATCCTCTGACCACTGGGTGGGTCCTTGCTGTTCCTACAGAGACTGCCCCTCCCAGGGCTGGCCAGTTCCCAGAGTTAGTGAATAACTTGCACACAAGCATGCCTTTCGAATGCAAAGCAACAAATCCAGAGCCTGTACCTTCAGCCACCTTTACTGGGCTTTTCACACAGTGGGCCACTATCCTCGTGCCCTACCCTAGAGCCCACTGAAATTCAAGCTAGCCAATCCTAAACTTTCTTACCCTGCCTCGCCCATCCCTTCCCAAAGAAACCACAATAAAGCCCCTTGCACACATTTTCCCCTGTTCTCTGCCTCCTCACCAACCCCAGTGTTTCCCTGTGTGACCCCCTTCCGTGGCATGCTAGGGAATGTGAGTATAAAAAACTTCTTCAACAGTTATTTCCGTATCTTCGTATCTTACCATATCTGATTAATACAAATCCCAGTTACCCTTAAAACAATGTCCACACTCACTACTCTGAAAGTTCTAACCACTGCAATAAAGCAATAAAAATAAAAAGCGTACAGATTGAAAAGGAAGAAATAAAACTGATGGGGCTTTCCTGGTGGTGCAGTGTTTAAGAATCTGCCTGCCAATGCATGGGACACGCAGGGTTCCATCCCTGGCCCAGGAAGATCCCACATGCCTCAGAGCCACTAAGCCAGTGCGCCACAACTACTGAGACCGCGTGCCGCAACTACTGAAGCCCGCACACCTAGAGCCTCTGCTCCGCAACAAAAGAAGCCACCTCAGTAAGAAGCCCACGCACCACAATGAAAAGTAGCCCTTGCTCACTGCAACTAGAGAAAGCCCGCGCACAGCAACGAAGAACCAACGCAGCCAAAAATAAAAAATAAGTAAATAAATTTATAAAAAAAAAAAAAAACTGACCCTATTTGCTGATGACATGATTGTCTACATAGAAAATCCCGAGGAATCCACAAAAACGAAACCAAAAAATCCTCAAACTAAATAAGGGAGTTCAGCAAGATCACAGGATACAATGTCAGCATATAAAAATCAATCACATCTCTATATACTAACTATGAACACGTGGAAACTGAAATTAAAAACACAAATGTTCCAAAGAAAATAATATACTCAGGTAAAAACTTACCAAAACATGTACAGAGCTTGTATGCTGAAAATTACAAGATGCTGATGAAAGATGCTCTTTTTTTTATTGTCTGAAGAGTCTGTGGTGATATCCCCTTTTTCATTCCTAATATTGGTGATGTGTGCCTTTGCTATTTATTTTTGGCTAATCTGGACAGAGGTTTATCAGTATCATTGAGCTTTTGATCTATTGAACAACAAGCTTTTGATTTCGTTCATTGTTCTCTATCACTTTTCCATTTCCAATTCCTGTGGAAGTCTTCCCCCAGCTCTCCAGCTGCCAGATTCCTAGCATGTCGCATTAGTGTGGCACCTCGCCATCCAGTTGGCCACAGCTGCTCTCTCTCACGCGAGGTGTAGACCTCAATCCCAAGGGAGGAAGGGGCTCTTCCACATTTGCTCCTTATTTGAGTGCTGTGCCTCAGCCATAAGAATAGTGGCTGTAACCTACATTTGTGATTCCTAGAGTTCTCTTTTTCCCTTAGTTACCCACTTATTTGTCAATCCTTTTACTCTAATGTCCTGTTTCAATGATTAATTATTTAAACTTTCTTTGTTCAAATTGTTTCTCTCTTTTTTAAAGATATTTATTTGGCTACATCGGGTCTTAGTTGCGGCCTGCGGGGCCTTTCGTTGTGGCATGCAGGCTCTTTGTTGCAGTTTGAAGGCTTCTCTCTACTTGTGTCACTCGGGCTGCAGAGCAGCATGTGGGCTCTCTAGTTGTGGCGTGAGGGCTTAGTTGCCCCGTGGCGTGTGGGATCTTAGTTCCCCGACTAGGAATTGAGCCCTAGTCCCCTGCATTGGAAGGCGGATTAACCACTGGGCCACCAGGGAAGTCTCTGTTCAAATTGTTTCTGTCTCCTGATTGGATGCTGACACCCAAAGATATAGTGCAAAGGGAATCTACTCACCTGAACCATATTGGGTCCTGAATGATCTTTCTACTCCTTTTTTTTTTTTTTTTTTGGCCGCACCACACGGCTTGTGGGACCTTAGTTCCCCGACCAGGGATTGAACCCGCGCCCAGTAGTGAAAACAAAAGCACGGAGTCCTCTTAACCACTGGACCCCCAGGGAATTCCCAATCCTCCTATTCCTAAATCTATATTCCCATGCTCATGAGGCCCAGCTGTCTCACTCTTCCAGAGCATGCAGGTTCCCTTGAGTCCTGACCATTCTGGTTACCTATTACTTTATAACAAACTACCCCCAAACTTTGCAGCTTGAAAAAAGCACAATCATTTAGTTTTTCAAAACTATTCACTTTGCATAGGGCTCAGTGGGGAAGGCTCATATATCCTCCACGTGGCATTAGCTGAGAACTAGAGGATATGCTTCTAAAATGCCTCCTTCATGTGACCTGCAAGTCAGTGCCAGCTGTTGACCGGGTAGCTGGGTTCCAAGGAGAGTGAGATGGAGATTCTATCACGTTCTATGATCTAGACTCAGATGTCACATAGTGTCACTCCTCCCATCCATACTTAATTAGTTAAGGCAGTCGAAAAGGTTTTCCCAGGTGAGGGGATATAAACTCCACCTCTTAATGGAGGAGAATGGCAAAATCCCGGAAAAGGCTGCATGTCCAGAAATATTGTTGCAGCCATCTTTGGAAGATGAGACCTGCTGCACAGGCCACTTAATGAAAATCTCCCCCACACATTAAAAAATATGTATATTACAGTTACAGTAAGTGCTCCATTCTTTGAGATCACCTAAATGAGTCTGTAGTCTTTGCAATCATAAGAGTATAAGTAACAGCCCAAATCAGCAGAGAAAACTCTCCACCAGCAGTTGGACCATAGTAGATAGGATCATTAAGAAGGTCAGATCAGGAGAAAGGTTATACATGCTCCTTTAAGTGACTATGGATGAAACCAGTGGTTGTTTCCCAATATCTGTTCTTTCCATCTTCCATAGTAATAGAATCCTTTAGTTGAACATAGGGCTTTCCAGAATAAGACAGTTCTACCCATCCTCCCTTGCAGCCTGGTGTGGAAGCAAATTACAGCTTCTAGGGACCTTCATTTGAAGTCATCAGACTAGCAAATTTTGCCTCTTACCTTCTTCCCTTCTTTCACCCGACTGCCTGAAACGCAGATGTAATGGCTTAAGTTCCAGCAGCCATCTTGGACCCTGAGGACAGAAGTCCATTATGTAGAAATAATGTTAAGTTCATTATGTAGAAATATTGTAGTCATAATAATGAATGAAAATTATGTAGTAATAATAATAAATCCATTACGTATACTGGTACATAAAGGATGGTAAGCTGGAAGGAGCCAGAATCCCTGAGGACTTTGTAGAGTACAGCCACCATATAATCCATAGACTGTCTTTTTTGAGACATCTATGTGAAAGAAAAATAAAATACTACCCTGTTTAAGCCATTATTTTCTCAGGTCTCTGTTACTTGCTGTTCTACCTATACCCTAACACAAAGACGAATACAATGGTGTCGGCTTATAGTCTTTATGGACTATTTTGCCCAATTTTGCAGATCATTTCTCCATATTCTTAAGGAAACTCTTGATATTACATTATAGTCAGGGTGCTTGCAGCTTGAGAGTGCCAGAATAGGGTGCTCCATCATGTAAGTTTCCCAGATTTCTGGATATGGACATGAGTCAAGAGAAGTGAGACAAACCCCTTAGAAGGCAACTGGGACCCTTTGTTCCACAAGCCCCATTGACATTAGAGTTACAAACTCTATATTCAGCATCTCTGGGTTCACATGATCACTTCCTTGAAAAGTTTATGAAAAAGGAGTTGCCAAGAGTAACCAGAATCAGGCACATGGGAAAATGAAAAAGTGTGAATGAAAGTCTGTGCTCAGCCTGAAGTATGGATTCTGCATTACCCCAAAATTGCCAAAATGTGGAGATGAGAACTCCATGCTGTAGACAGTGCCAAAGCAAATAGACTAACATTATATTATGTTGAGGAAAGTTGTGAGAAATGCCAGCTTTGGGGTTATGAGCTGTTTCCATGAATTAAAAAAAAACTGAGTCATTATCTTTCATACTACACATGCCCTTGTATTGAGTAGCCAGTCTTGAGTTTTTAACCCTTTTTACTAATATCTGAAATTAATGAGAAGTGTCTTTTCTTTTAGACTAGTAAGAAATAATATAATCCATCATATTT